TCAGTCCCCTTCCGGTAACTTTTTGATTCTTGACAGCTAGCAATTCTAGGGCATCAGCGTAGGATAATCTGGGAAAAGGTGGAGCGTTTACAATGGATTCCAAGACGGAGAAGTGCTCCTGATAAGAGATTTGATAAAAGATAAGATAAGATTTTAAACAACGATTCTTTCCCGATAATGTCATACCTTTGATGAAAACTGCCCAAGTGCTTCAAAATCGTCCATCATCTCTGGATCGCTAAGCAAATTGAAAACACAGTAGCGTAAAAAGTTCTCAGGAATTTCCATTAGCTTGTTAAGATCCTAAGAAATAAAAATGAAGAACAATTTCCACATGAGGAGAGAGGGGCCGTGATATTAGATGACTACAACAAAAGGCTTAATAAAGCAGAAGAATAATAAATGTCAGATAACAAGAAAAGCAAAAATTCATGCTTTCAGTTTTTTTTATGCGCACTCACTTCAAGGAATGCGATTTCTGCTTCCAGCATCCTGAATTCCGTCAGATGATTTCTGCTTTGTTGCTTGTCAGCTCTACATCCAGTGCTGAGTGTGTATACTTGAGAGATCCCGCTAAATCAATGATAACAAACTGATATATGTGAGAGCATCTTTCAGTAACAAAGTAAATACATATTCAAAAAGACAGATATTTCCTTTGTGCCAAAAAGGAGCTTAATCATCGCATAGATCTAACGAACCTTACCATAGCCTCTAGATGTAACTGACCACTGACAGATAGGAATGCATCCTTCTTGTTGAAAAAATCTTCTTTTGAAGGGTCCTATAAACGATTATTATAAAAAAAGCATTGTCAAGCGATAGAACTCTAAACATTAGGTAACATGTGGAACCAAATTATGTACCTTAGCTATAGAAAACGTTTCCCCAGCTCCCTCACAGTCATTCGCAGTGACCACGGGAGTATCAATGTGTACGTATCCACGATTCTAAACTGAACTGACTTATGAATTATGTATCGAACTAGAAAAGCGGCCTTTAAAAAAATATTGAAAAAAAATTGACTCACGATGAAGTACTCATGTGTTTTCAGGAATAATTTTGACCGCAGCCGAAGCAAAGCGGAAAAAGCGGAAGAACGTGATCGAAGATGCACCTTTTTTCGAAGCTGGTCTGGGGATAAGGAAGAATACCTCGGCTGAAGGTTTGGCTTTAGAACTAAGTATGTACTCATTTAAAAAGCTTATTCGAAACTAACTTCTATGTCGTCAGCAAGAACTTGACATGAATTAGCGAGCAGTTCCCTATCCTGCTGCGCTCCTAAGCTGGCTTGCCAGTTGCCGGTGATACAAACTGCGCTACCAACATGCACTAAACGAAATCATAGATGAAACAAGACCTACTGATTCTTTGGTTTTCCCATATTCTCTGTTGCAAGATATGAGAGACTGAGAACAACCAGGGACGGGGACTGTGTAACGCAAAACTGATCCAAAATTGCTGATAGGCGGATAGTCTACTTCAAGGAGCCTAAGTTATTAGAGGTCTGATTGCATACGGCAAAATAACTGATATGAAGCGATGTTAGCCGAAGGCGATTCTCGCGACTCTTTCAGTCCTAGTCCAGGGCTTCTCGCAACCTGTGTGCTCGTACAAAGATAAAATTGTAAAGAGAGAATTATGATGAGATGATTCGAATAAAAGTTGATGACTTTAACTGAGCACAGGCCTGCATTTAGAGCGGATTTGATGTTTGATGCGCAATAGCATCACGTACAGTGTAAAATCCACTAGGCTATGTCAAACTTCAACCATACCTACAAATTGTGATGTTCAAAAAGAAAAATAGAAAGTTATGACAATTGTATTTTATGCAAAAAAAAAAAAGGTTTATCCAGGTAA